ATCCATTTTTTTTCTTGTTAGCTTTCTTTAGCTTCCATAACTGCACATAATGAGTGGGAATAAAATAGTGTAGATCATCTTGGTCTGGGTGTCCAGTGACACTTCCTTACACTTGATAATCTTTTTAAATTCCTTCATTGCTGCCTTTCTGAGTCTATGTTTCTCCTGCTTTCTTGGCTGCAGTCTCCCTTTGCATTGATGATTGAACCAAAGAACACAAAATCTTTATCTATTTCAATTTCTTCATTGTCAGTGTAAAAGTTGTGTAATTCTTATGTAGTAGTGATTTCTATCTTCTTAATGTTCAACTATATTCCTGTTTTGCCATTTTCTTCTTTCACTTTCACTAAAAGTTGTTTCAACTTATTGCTGCTTTCTGCCAGTAAGAAAATGTTATCTGCATATTTTTATTTAACATTCCTGATGAATTTAAAGTCCATATAAGTAACAGATTTGCATTACTAAACCATGAACCAGAGGAAATGTGGATTGAAACCAGGGCTTCTCTGTAGCTACAACTGTTGCTGGGATACTGATCACAGAGTCTAGTCTCAGGATTAGGAGATTAACATGTGAATGCTGAAGAAAAATCAGATTTTAAATCCAGTGTTATGGAAGCATATGGCCTACCATTTTGATGTGTTTAAGCGATAGTAATCAGAGTGGGCAGAGGAATCAGGAATACAGAACTGGCAAGTAGAGTGGTCTGGTAGTCCAGACAGGCAGGGTATAAATCAAATCAGATCAATCAATCAATCAATCAAACAAACAAACAAACAAATAAATTGTCCACATAGCTGTGCATTAATGCAGACAAACCATATATGGTAGCAGATTAATAGGTGTAATGAAATAAAAAGCCCCCATCCCTGCCCTAGCTGCAGAGAGTAGCATTGAACTGGTTGATGTATTCTTGCTCAGCTGTTTCCCTTTGGAATATCTTTACATTTCTTTATTCAAGGACAACCACCTTGAGCTCAGAGCATCCAGGGAGACTAAAGTATTTCTCATACTGATTTATGAACCTGCTGGCCAAAATCCTGTTAAATTTTTATGCTGGTGTAATGCAATTGGTATAAATCTCATTGGCAAATTGCCACACTTATGATTAATATAGGAATTTGATTTTATTCACTACCTATTATGACTTGGCAGGCAACATCAAATGCTTACACTAATCTAAACTAGCTGCAGTTTGCCAGTGAGAGTTATACCATCTGTATTGTGCTACTAGGCATAACTAATTAACAGGATTTTTACCACTGCTTCTAATGTCAGATTTGTGCATGTTTATTCTTATGCTGTGAGATACTGTTGGCAGAACATGGTATGTATCACACTGGGAGATGAGCAGGTTGATGAATTCTTAATATGATGCATTACAGAATTGACCAAAATCCTAGCATAAACGGCATAACTTCAGACAACAAATTGCTGCAAATTACAGGGTCAGCCTAGATATCAGTGTGTGATATATAGTGCCTACACTGATTTCATAATATGCACCAAAAGTTACACTATTTATGCTATGCTGGAAATCGGCTTTTTTGTCATTGATTATGCAAAAGCCTTTGACTGTGTGGACCAAAACAAACTATGGCAAGTTCTTAAAGAAATGGGAGTGCCTGACCACCTTATCTATCTACTGAGAAACCTATATGTGGGACAGGAAGCAACAGTTAGAGCTGGACATGGAACAACTGATTGGTTCAAAATTGGGAAAGGAGTACGACAAGGCTGTATATTGTCCCCCAGCTTATTCAACTTATATGCAGAATACATCATGCGGAAGGCTGGACTGGAGGAATCCCAAACCAGAATTAAGATTGCCGGAAGAAATATCAACAACCTCCGATATGCAGATGATACCACTCTGATGGCAGAAAGTGAGGAGGAATTAAAGAACCTCTTAATGAGGGTGAAAGAGGAGAGAGCAAAAAACGGTCTGAAACTCAACATCAAAAAAACTAAGACTATGGCCACTAATCTAAACTATTTCCCCTCCTGGGAAATAGAAGGGGAAGATATGGAGGCAGTGACAGATTTTATTTTCCTGGGCTCCATGATCACTGCAGATGGAGACAGCAGCCACGAAATTAAAAGACGCCTGCTTCTTGGGAGGAAAGCGATGACAAATCTTGACAGCATCTTAAAAAGCAGAGACATCACCTTGCCAACAAAAGTCCGAATAGTCAAAGCTATGGTTTTTCCTGTCGTGATGTATGGAAGTGAGAGCTGGACCATAAAGAAAGCAGACCGCCGAAGAATTGATGCCTTTGAATTGTGGTGCTGGAGGAGACTCTTGAGAATCCCCTGGACTGCAAGGAGAACAAACCTATCAATTCTAAAGGAAATCAACCCTGAGTGCTCACTGGAAGGACAGATCCTGAAGCTGAGGCTCCAGTACTTTGGCCATCTCATGAGAAGAAAAGACTCCCTGGAAAAGACCCTGATGTTGAGAAAGTGTGATGGCAAGAGGAGAAGGGGACGACCAAGGATGAGATGGCTGGACAGTGTCTGTGAAGCAACCAACATGAATTTGACACAACTCCGGGAGGCAGTAGAAGATAGGAGGGCCTGGCGTGCTCTGGTCCATGGGGTCACGAAGAGTCGGACACGACTAAATGACTAAACGACGACGAACGACAATGTCATTAGGTCCATTAATAGAGTTTTAAGTGTAGACATGGAGACACAGTGTCTAGATCTCTGTTGACTGAAGTTACATATGAAGAGGTGGGCTGTGGTCCACATAATGAATAAAACATGGTTTCTTGCTGAGATGCCAGAAGATTTCTTATTAGTTTCCTGCAGCGGACTTAAATCTCTACCCTTGATGGTAGATGATTGTGGAGAGTTATCAGAAGGTTGAATGGGCTATTGAAAAGAGATATTTTTTTAGCAATAGACTTAGGATGTTGTCTAAACAGTATCTTGGGAAATCCCATGTAATATAACATAAATCCATCTCTACATTTTCATGCAACTGATGAGACTTGCCTTAGAGTGTTAATTGGGGCACCACAAGGTCTCCCAGAACCTGAACCAGGAAGCAATTTCCTCCCATACACACCCCATTAAGGTTCAGATTTATCACTGTATCGAGCCACTCATTCATTTTGCACTGAACTAGGGGTAGGAAGACACATGTCAGCAAAAGAAACCTAAGCCCATTTGCCCAGTCTGTTCTACTGTTTCATTTGGTTTCATTGTGTCTGGCCAGTTTCTGCCCCAAGGCATTAGTGATCATTGCAGACAAGGCACAATGGGAGAGATGTCTAAACATATCACCTGTAGGACCCCTCACAGTCAGGTCTTACTGAAGAGGCTGTTCGATGTCATTGGATCTGAATGGAGCAGCACAGAAAGAAATAGATTCTTTCAGTGCTACATGGAGAACAATGAAGTTGGATTTGGGGACTCAAGAATTCAATGGCAGGAGGATAACATTTCATTCACTCCTAAAAATGGACATCAACCAAAATGCCCTCCCAAACTTGTATGGATTACCATTCTTTACCTTTGGATAACCAAGGCACCACTAGGCATGGAAATATACAATTAGTCTAATTTGCAGGGCCAGCCCCACCATAAAAAAAGCAAGGGAACTAGGTGATAGATTCTAGTACAGTGGTGCCTCACTTAATGGGCATTCCGTTTAGCGATGAAATCACTTAGCGACAAATATTTCGGAGCGTTTTTGCACTTTGTTTAGCGATGGTCCCTATGGGCAATTTTCGCTTAGCGATGGTTGGGACCATGCTTCGCATAGCTATTAGATTTTGGGTCCCCTGTTTCGCTTAACGATGGTTTAAACAGCCTCATGTTTGCTGTTTTTTAAATGTTTTTCTGTTATTTATAAAGTTAAAGTTTACTGTTTAAAAAGTTTGAAATCATAAAGTGCACTTAATAAACCCTTTGTTAACCAAATTTGACTTTGCTCTAACTCTTTTTTTAATTTGTTGTTGTATTTTCCCCCCATTGAGATGCATTGAATAGGTTTCAATGCATTTCAATTGGGGAATTGCGTTTCGCTTAGCGATGTTTCCTATGGCGATTTTCGCTTAAGGACGGCAATTCGTTCCTATTGGAATGGATTATCTGGTTTTCAATGCATTTCAATGGGAAACCGTGTTTCGCTTAGCGATGAAATCACTTAGCAGTGATTTTTCGGAATGAATTAACATCGCTAAGCGAGGCACTCACTGTATAATGTATTGGGAAGAATATTGCCCCAGGCTTTTTGGCTGTTGCTCATGAACTCTTATTTATTTATTCATTCATTCATTTCCCTTTGTTGAAGAAAATATGTACCTGTGCCACATAACCTGTCCCTGGGCACCTGCTGCCTCAGGTAAAGTGAAGGGACAAGGATGTGATGAGGACTCAGGAAGTTTTTGACTGTTAGCAATTTTCCACATACCATGCTGAAACCCCCAACAAATCTCTCTGCGCAAGTGAGATTTCTCTACTTTCTATGAAATGAGATGATTGCCCTATCATTTCCACCTGTTGTTCTGTACAGGAAATTGCAAGACCTTGTGTAACATAGTGCCCTTTTTGGTGAATTCTGTGCAGGAAAGATGCTCTCCTGCTAAGGAGTTGTAATTATTCTTTGTAGGATGGGATGCTGTCCAGAAAAAAATGATCAGAAAACATCAAAAAATGACTTGAGATTTCCCATGAGATTTCACAGGAAGGGGAAAACAAAAAACTTCACACAGAGAAATCATATGGCAAGAAGTGACGATTCCCCCTTCCCGTTTCTGTGAGAGTCTGCAAGATTCTCATATTTGGTGGATGATGCTATTCCATCGCAAGTATTGGCATAAGATTTAATTGCCAATCCTGTCAATTTCTGTACCAGGAATTGGGTGAGGGGGCGCTATCTTGTTTTGGGCCAGCGATGAGGCAAAAAGTCTTCAGCCAGTGATGTAACTAGGATTATATTTCAGAAAAAGTTCAATTTATCCTAGCCATGCTTTTAAAAAACCCCATTTTATTTATCACACATGTGTAGAACAAAATATACATAAACTCTGAAATAGAGCAGGTGGTATTTTCTTGCAGCTTACATATGGGGGAAAAAGATTTTCACCTTAAAACATTCTGTACAAGGAGCAAGCTATCACAAAGAGAGGCAAACAGTTTGATTAATGTGATACAAAAGGTAGGAATAGATCAGTCTAAAAATTCTCACCAACTCCCTTTGGGTTTTTATACACAAGCAAGTGAAAACATGGAAATAATGGCTGCTGTAGATTAAAGAGGTGCTCATTAAATTTCTAGTCACATGACCAGCACAAGACGAGCCTCCTAACCAGCACCCTGTTAATTAACTTTTAATTAGTTGGTGCAATTACCAGTTTTTCACTTACGTGTGTATAGAGGCCCAACAGGATTCTTGTTTAATCTTTTGGCCCACTTCATGTCATGCTCTCACATTATATTACTAAGCTCAACCTTCTCGTGAATTCTGACACAAAGATATTTCAAGTAAAAAGCAGGAAATGTTGAAAATAAATGTTCATTTAATAGATTTGCAAATACATTTCTTCAATTTTCTGCTGGTTAAAAAAACAGCTTTCCCAAACAAGTGACAACAATTGACTTACAAATATTACAAGGAAAGGCTAGACAGAATGCCACAGGAAAAGAAGTACGTATGCGTATCATCGTATGTGTATGCCAGCGATCAGCTAAAAGAGGTAGCTGTGAATCCATTGTCACTGATGTACTTCACTGATCACCACAATGAACTGAAAAATTACCTTCAAAGCTAGATTTTCTAGTTTCCCATACTTGACTTCCTGAGTTGTCTCTCATCTTATATAAATAAACAAGTGACTAGTCTCTTTAGAGTAGTTCATACACTGCAGCAAGCAGAGGCACATGATAACAAGAGAGAGGGAAACTGTGATTTTTGTAATACTCTGAGTGCTGTATATACACTTGCTCCAGACAATTGACTTCCAATTGGTTGACGGATTTGAAGCTATTTCCTCCTCTTTTGTCACCTCTGGGAACAGCACACTCATCCAATGGTGTTGAAGACAGAGATGTTTTCAGCACAAGGAGCACATTCTCCCAGCCCCAGCCTTGCAGATATTACACCTGCTATAGTTGAAATGACTGGGAAAGGAGCACTTAGCAGAAAGGAAAGAGGATTGAAAGAGAGATTGTCAGAACTTTGTCTGAGAGGAAAATAGGTTACCAAAAAAAAAGGGGGGGGAGGAAACTCCAAAAAGGAGAAGTTGATTAGATACGTCTCCTTTAATATTCAATTCTGCTCCAGTAGAACATGGTACAAAGAAGGACCCACGTCTGAAAGAGAAAAAGGAAAACAATTCAAAAAGGGTCATAAATGCGGCCACTGTAACATCTCACACATCTGGCCCAGATAGTCCACCCTAAAACTCCACCAACCAGAGGAACAGCCTGAAGACTTAGCCACCACACTAGCATAAACAACACAATTATGGAGTATATAATTGACTCTGGACAGCATAACATATGGCCAGCTCAGAGGCCCAATTCCTATAGAATGGAGAAATACTAGCAAAAACCAATGTGCTAGAATTTGAACAAAAATTAAAAGCATCTGCTCTCTCTATATTTCACAACCAACAAGAACCAATATATATATATATCTGCTAATAGACAAGGCTCAGGTGCATCTCCTCCAAAGTAACTTTGTAACTTTACCCTTATTTTGCCTAAACTGTTAGCGTTCTTCTCCCACAAGGTAGTAAGTACAGTGGGGTCTCTACTTAAGAACGTCCCTACTTAAGAACAATCCAACTTAAGAACAGCTCCATTTGCTAAATTTTGCTTCTACTTGAGAACAGAAATCCAAGATAAGAACAGGAAAAAAACACCTTTCCTGCTCTTTTTTCAACCTTAGGTCATCTTAGGTTAAAAAAAATTCTCCCCCGAGTGGTAGAGTACGTATTAACCAGCTTTGCATTAGTTCCTATGGGAACTAATGCTTCAATGTACGAACGCACCTCTACATAACAAAAAAAACAGCCAGAACGGATTAATTGGTTTTCAGTCCATTCCTATGGGAAATTTTGCTTCAACTTAAGAACGTTTCAAATTAAGAACACCATTCCAAAACGGATTAAGTTCTTAAGTAGAGGTTCCACTGTAGTTTCTATGGACGGAAAAGAGCAGATACGGATTAAATGGTTTTCAATGCATTCCTATGGGAAATGCAGATTCAACATAAGAACTTTTCAACTTGAGAACCACCTTCCAATACGGATTAACTCTTCTCCCACAAGGTAGTAAGTACTGGCTCCCTAGTGCTGCTATCTGCAGATGGGAGAAATAAACAATAGTCGGGCTTACTACTAAGCATTCTCCAGAAGATCACATAAGTCGATCTTAAGTCTTGAAATGGGTCAGAGTGGACAAATCCCACTCTTGAAGCCCACCTTTCCAAAAGTAACTCATAAGTGGCAGAAGCATGAGGGATAACAAATACCAGACACCAGAGCTGGCCTGGTCATTAACTGGAGTGAAGTGACTAGCTGAAAAGTAGAGTGCCTGGGGCACAACCTTTTGCTGTTTGGTTCCCTGCTACTGTGTAGAAACAATTACTAGAGAGAGGGAGAGCAAGGAAGAAGAGGAAGGATGGGAATAGTTTGTTCAGTCACCATAGGCTGGCTGGCCTTCTTTAAATACCAGACACCAGAGCTGGCCTGGTCATTAACTGGAGTGAAGTGACTAGCTGAAAAGTAGAGTGCCTGGGGCACAACCTTTTGCTGTTTGGTTCCCTGCTACTGTGTAGAAACAATTACTAGAGAGAGGGAGAGCAAGGAAGAAGAGGAAGGATGGGAATAGTTTGTTCAGTCACCATAGGCTGGCTGGCCTTCTTTAGAGCACAGCTCAGAGTCACCATAGGCTGGCTGGCCTTCTTTAGAGCACAGCTGGTGCTGCATTAAGATCAGGTTGCAACAGAAATCTGAACCCCTGAATCACTGGATAGAAGTTGGATACTCATTCATTATCTTCTCCCCCACCCCTCACTCTCTCTCCCATGCTTCTCTTTATTCTCCCAAACAGGATAGGAATGTAGAAGTAGCTGAGGATAGGTAAGCAAAAAGGAAGTGTTACAATCCACCAGTTTCTACTAGTCTCTTCCTTCCATCATCACACAGTGTGACAAGGATCAGGAAGATACAGACATTCCAATGTCGTTGAAATACTTTTCCCATCACCTCCTCAATATCAGCCAGCCCGGCTTGTCCTGATGGAAACTGACATTTTGGGACATCTGGAGAACCACCAGGTCTCCATCTTTTGCTCTGGAAGAACTGGGGTGGATGAGAAAGCCTTGGTCTCTCCTTTTCAGCCTTGGCTGTTCGGAGGTAATCTGACAGTAATTTCATCCATCTTAAATTTTTTTCATTCATCTTAAACTTCAGACCTGAGAAACCCTGAAGAAACTGCTGTACTACAGCTAAAACTGTGCTCACAACCCGGGGTTCAATCCCAGGTAGCTGGCTCAAGGTTGACTCAGCCTTCTATCCTTCTGAGGTCAGTAAATTGAGTACCCAGCTTGCTGGGGGGGG